AATTTTTAGCATTTGAGAAAGTTTGAGATGAAAGTGATCGCTTTGGATCCCATAGTGAATACTACATCAAACTAGATCCAGAAGGGCAGACCAAAGTGATCATTATAAAACTATAGTAGACACTATAGAGACCCAGTTTAAAGAAGTGATGCGCGTGTTTACTATGGAACCATAGTAGACACTCTGGGCTAACCAAAGTAATCACTTTAATACTAAAGTGAACACTCTAGAGAAGGCCAAAATCACAAGACTTGTGCGTGGCTACTATGGAGCGATAGTAACTACTATGGAGCACTGCGCGTTATCACTATGAAACCATAATAGTTAATATGGGTGAAAATTTCTGCACTATAAATAGAATTTGAGAAATTAGGGTACGGATCTTTTTACATTCTTTAGATTCTTTTGCCATTTTGGGAGCACTTGCAGAGCTTAGGACCCTTGAGTGACAGCCAAGGCCAATCTTAGGGTTTGATTTACAATTTCTCTTTATTTTTCTTTAATTCTTGCATTGATGATATTGAATTTCCTTTGTTTTCATCATGAATTTGTAAGACCCATCCTTATGAAGGGCTGAACTTTCTTGTAATCCTTAGTGAGTTCATAGATTCTTGAATTCCTCGGTATGAATGTCAATATAATTCCCTTTTCTTCATGAATTTACATTTCTCAACTCCTTGAATTGAATTAATGGTTGAATAAGGGGGACATTACTTAATTAACCCTAATTCATTTTAATGAAATTCTTAACTTGGTTTGCTTAATCCTAAGTTAATTTCTAAGGTTGCATAATCTTGGGGGAAAAGAGTTGGAGTCCATTAAATTTGCTTAAATTCGTATGGGATTTTAAGGTTAATTCTTTCTTGTTGAGTTACCCTAATTCAGAGGAAGAGGAAAAGTATTGAATCTTAAGAGGAATGGGGATAGAATTACATGAACGAACTAAGGATTGCACATTTTATTGATTGAACTTATTAATTTCATCATTTGTTTTTACATCAAAATTGGAATCACACAAAACCCTCATTTTAATTGCTTTCATAGTAAATGTTTACAACATGTTCAATGTATAAGTCATTGGAGACAATCTAGACTTGCATCCTAGATTACATAAAAATTTTGCATATTTTGATGAGATTGGCGACAAATCTTTTTGCAAACAAAAAATTCGTTCATCAAGCAGCCTATCCATCATAGGACCAAAGAGACACTAGTCATTTCCGTGTCATCCCTATATCATTGCAATATCGTCGGAGTCGAGATCGTCATCTGATCTGAGATATAGGTTACCAGAGTCTGCAGTAACCTGTGTACCAGTAATCCGCTTGAATGTCCGTCGAGATGGTCTTCCAAGATGATCGTGATCATGGTACATAAATAGGTAGGTTAAGGTTGCTGGGGTTCTCACGGTGCCAAGAAATATGTATACATAGAAGGTGTGATGTATTCTACTTGCGAAGAAATTAAAAGGAATATTATAGGCTAATTCCATTTCTATCATAATAATATCTCTAGGTACATCATTAACATGTACAACAATCCTAAAGTAACATAATCTCTGACACTCGTTAAATACATAATTAAGTCTATTAATTACAGAACTATCTATAAGCCTAGTTCTCTCGGTGGGTGTTATCATCCTGGTTCCTTGAAATATTTACTTAAGAATGAGTTTCTATTTTTATTACTAAGCATACATTCACAAATAAATCAATGATACAGATAAGAAAACAATACAATCATCATATAACGAAATCACCAATTATCTAACTTATTCTACTTAGGTCCATTATTACTTAACATTTTCATTTTTTTCTTTCACTGCCTCTAGGATCTCTTGAGGTCTTCCTTAGCATAGATAGTTGTTAGATAGCCACAGCTACACGAATACAACATGTGTTGACTCAGCCCCTTTTAGCAAAAGCATGGTCAGGAGTATTAGTCAAGAAATGAGTGTGAGGCCTGTGGTGCTTCTACGCTCATTTATTTTGCGCAATTCAGGAGGAGCATCCACCACCCTCGTTTCTCCAAGACTTCTCAGTCGTCTCCATCTTCCACACTTCCAATGTACCATAAACTATCCATACTCGTCCTTATCATAGACTTAGCGCATTCAAAGGCACAACAAAACATTAGTAGCATTTTTGCATTTATAAATTCAAAAACAAATATCAATTGAGTCACTACATAAAATACAATTATACCAAATATTAGCTCTAAAAAAATACCTTTAATATTGACCAGCTAAAGATTTCTCCATTTCTTCAAGTCTTATCTAACAAACTTGCAATGAGAATAAAAAGAGAATCAAAACACAAGAACCCATGCATTAGGAACTCTGCAAGCAAAGCTGATTGTTAAGCTAAAATTGCTATGATAGTTCATAGAACTAAAGAATGCACTATTTCTCATGTTAATCTATAACATAATCATTGTTTTAAGTTCAAAAAAGTCTCAAATTCAAAGGTCACCCAAGAATATAGGTTGTTATTAAAAAAGAAGGCTTGAATTAAATAATTATTGATAAATTATCATTTTATTATTTTATTTATGAGATTTTAGCTTAATTTTTTATTAGACTTATTATTTTATTATTTAAATTAGTTAAGTTTCTCCTAATTTTACTGTAGGAAGTGTTAACAACGCAACTTTATTAAAAAATTGTCAAATTATAAAGAAAAATTATTAAAAATAAAAAAATGAGTGAAATTTGAAATTAAATTGAGTTTGAATTTTAAATTATAAATTTAGAATTTGAATCTTGAATTCAAATTTAATAATAGAAAATTATATATTTTTGTATGGACAAGTCATGACTTTTTTAGGAATAAAATATATCTTTTGGAAGGCAAAATAAATGTTTTAGAAGTTAAATCATTATTATTTTTATTCTATATTCTATATAAAGATCTCACACACACACTATATGATTGATAGAGATTTTGACACTTTTTCTAATGGACTTTTAAAGACTTTTGGAGTCGTTTTGGAGCAGAGATTATTGGCAAAAATGTAGGATACCTTTTTGAAGTTTGAATAAGTAATTAAGAGTATTTTTTAGAGACAATAACTCTTCTCATCTCTTTTTTCTTTGGAATCTCTTTAATTTGTGATCTTTTTTGAATAAATATAAATTAGATATTAGTATTTTTAGTATAAATGATTGACGATCATAAAAAAAATTGAGATTGAAATTAACTAATAATGAACATAAGGAGGTGTAAAAGTGAAACAAAAAATCTTAAATTCATTTCAAATAGTTTTGTTTTAATAGTTGTGCTATCCTATTTTCATTTGGTTACTCTTCGTGATTTAAGTTTTTCTTTTTATAAATTTTTCTTACACACTAAGTTTGTCTCAAATATTTTTTTAGTTGCTCAAATTAAGTTTAAATAATTAAATCACAATAATTTTAATAATTAAAAATATTTTTTATGGAACGATATTCTTAGAACTTAAATAGATTAAAGAAATTATATTACAAAGGTGAAACAATTAAGGGTTAGAGTTGGAGACGATGAAGCCCTTCGTATAACAATATTCGTTTGCAACAAAGAAATTCAATTTTTTACTGTCATTGATAGAGATGATGAAGGTCATTTACGCAATGTTTTTTGGGCATATGCTAGGTCCAGGGCTGCTTACACTCATTTAGAGATGTTGTATCATTTGATACTACATATTTAACTAATAGATACAATTTGCCACTTCGAAAAGCTATTCTAAGAGGCCTACAACAATACAATTTTCAAGTTGTTTCAAAATGAGTTGCGTAGTATGCTTTTTTGCAATTCCAATATCTATATTCAATGTCATTGATATTAATGATAGTAACAATGGATACCATAAAAAGATTTGCATACACAGTCAATATAATGTTGTGGAGTGTGATTTTCAATGTTCTTGTTATCTGTTTGAGTTTCGAGGAATAATTTGTAGGCATATAGCAAAGATTTTAAGAGAAAAGGATGTGAAGAAGATCCCTTCCCGCTACATTTTAACTCGATGGAGTAGGATGTTAAGCACAATCACCATTAGGTGCTAAATTGTTATGATGATTTGGGGTTTGGAGAACAAGCTATGCAATGTGCTAACTTTTAGGAAGCTGCACATATAGCCAATTCAATATCAAAGTATGAATTTTTTATGCCATGGATAGATAAAGCAAAGGAAAAGCTCAAGAATGATACAGGTTTGGATAATAGCAAACAAATTACTCAACCAAGTATTGACCATGCAACAAAATCAAGTGAAAAGTTACTATCTCCCTTGCATGTGGTAGCAAAGGTCGTTCACCATCCAAGACAAAGGAGTCCAAAGTAGAGAAAATAATGAAAACAAAAAGGAAAAAGAAAGAGGTAAACAATATTTTTTAATTTGTGCATTATATGCATATACAATAATTTATTTGTATCACATACTCACATGAATAACATGTTTATGGAGAAAAAGGAGGCATTTGACAAAGTCTACCATGCTCAAACATGACTAATGAAATGTAAATATATTAAATACAACTAGTTTTAGTTTTATAATTTCATGATTAAATATAAATAATATTGAGACATACGTATGATTTCAACCATATAGATAATCCGGTGTGGTTTAATTTATTATAAAATTTTGATTATATTATATTTATTTACTTTGATATAGTTGGGAACTCTTTATTTTGTTTTATTCCTTTTAAAAGTAAATAATCACCGGTAAAAATTAAAATTTTGTTTCGTTACATTTATACCATACTCCAAAGCAATAAACACTGAATAAATTTTTAAGAAATTTAAAGTAATAAACTGTATGAGAAAAATTTTTGGAATTGAAAATTAAAGAGACAAAATTCTAATTATTTTCTAATAAAAATTATAATTTTTAATAGATCATTTTAAATTAAAAAAAAGTGATAAACCAAAATGCATTCCTAATACCGAATTGTTCAAATGCTCGGTTCATTGCCTTGGGAAGAGTAGCAATTCCCTTGCAATCAGTACACGCTTTCCTTCGTTCCTTCCTTTGGCTTGGCAAAATTTAGTGTTGTTGTTGCGTAAAGTGATGGACTATGATTTCATGACGAGGCCTCCACCCTACAACTCATCATCATCTTCTTCTCAGGCCATGTACCCCAAGATCTCCCCTCACGCTCCTCGCCCCTCACACCATCATCACTCTTCTGCCCCTTCCTCTTCTCGTAATTCTCTCCCTTCTTTTCCGTACATAAACCTATTTAGTTCTCACTTTTTTTTATACATAATTATTGATTGATTGCATCGTCACTTTTTTGCCCTTTGGAATTTGCAGCGGGATTGGGCATTAGGGTTTTCCTAAAGCCAGAATATAGGATCACTCCGCCGGTAAGATTTGCTTTCGTTCCCTGTAAAACTTCATTTGTGGAAATTCAGAAAGTCTTCAGTTTGCTTCAATTTATTTCGGAAAAATATTATTACTTTTCCCAAATGAGAGAGCTATTAAAAAATAATATATTAGTTTTTCAGAAAAGAAGCGATTTTAAACCTCTTCCTAACTGTAAATTGTTGAATCCTTTACTTGTTTGCCTTTGATCCTCAATGCTTGTGCGTGAATGAGCTGCAATTTGCATTTAATTAAGTGCAATTTTTAATGAGCATGTTTCCTTTGTGATGATCATTTGGCACTGGTTTCCATCAGTGATTAGTTGACTACCCATTTGAACTTTTTTTTCTTTTCAATTGCTCTTGATATACTATAAGAGAGAGGATCAAGTGATACTAAGTATCAAATTTGAATACTTACACCACTTAATAACTTCTAATAGAGTACGAGATTAATCATTTTAACAGTTGGTTTAAAGGTTCTTATCAAATAGGTTAACTTTATAAACTTTCATTCAAAAATAAAATCAATAGGTTCTTTATCATGTTACTTTATTTTAACGGATAATATCCTTTTAAAATATAAGTAATATCAAATTTTAGATAACATATTTACAAATGTCCAAATCATATGAAATTTGATATACATGATTACGAAGTTAATATAATATGAAAAGTTATTAAGTGGTGTAAATGTTCAAGTTTTACACCTAGTGTCAATGGATCCTATCTCATACTATAAAGTGTAAGTATTGTTGCCATTTCTTATATTAATATTCTTTCCATGAGTTAATTTTATGTTGGTTAACAGCTTACTTGACCGGTTCCATTGCTTATGCTTCACCTCTTAGTCCTAGAGAGGAAGGGTGTTGCATTTGTTGCTGAATGGGGTTGAGAAAATTAAGGTTTCTAGGTTTAAGTAAGGACAAAATGTCCATTTTATCACTAAAAAAGGCCCAAATGACATGTGGGCAGGGAAAATTTTGGGTTTTTGTAACCCATTTAACACTGTTATCATTCACAACAGAGTCATGATTGGTCACCAGCCATGACGATGAGAATGCTCCACAACAGCAACCCTGTAGTGCCCAGTTACTGCTCCATGCTTTAACAATGCTATAGTGCTACTCTAGCTTGCTATTCATTACTATGCTTATAAGATAGCTTTCCTAAGGTGTATTATGGTTCAGTTAGCGTGAGAAGTTAATTATATGGTTGTTTATTCAATTATTAAGTATTAACCCAATATGGCTTGCCGTTAAGAACCTATTTTATCACTCAGTTTCATTTTTTATTGTTCTGTCCCTTGCCATGTATAAAACTATGCAAGCTTTGTATTGTTTGCCTTTGGCTTGGATCTGTTTTGATAGTTGTGGTTTCTTCAATGTTGTAGCCTCATTTGTTACCACATTCTGGAGATATTCCACGTAGCAACTTCCAGTTTGATTTTGGATTGGAGAGAAAAGTTCTTGCTGAAGCAAATAAGGAAAACCCAAATTGGAGCAAGTTTGGGATGGAAAATCTTCCAACTAAGGTTACTGAATCACCATCACCAAAGGTAACTTCCTGTTGCTTTGGAGAGAGTTCCAATTTATTCTGTTGCACATGTAGCTTGGGTTATTTTTTTTTACAAATTTATTATGTAGAGTTTATAGTGTTATTATATGCTAGTCCATGATAAGCTTGGCAATAAATTGTTTTTCTCTATGTAGACAAGTCTTTGACTACTTCCAATTCTCAAATATTGTTTTTCTTCCAGATTTCTGTTTCAGATCCCATTGTGAGCAAATATATTGCCATGGGGCTCAGCCGAGAGGCTGTTCCCATTGCTGTTGCAAATTATGGTGATAATCCAACCAGGGTATGTTCTTGATCCCTGAATCTTGTTATGGACTTACGGTTATAATGACAACATTTCTGAAAAATAAGATCATTATGTTTCTGAATTCTGAGTAATAACTAATAAGATACTTCAGATATATTTTTTCTGTTCGTACTTAATAAATACTTTCTAAATTATAAATCAGAGTAGAAAGACTCAAATGTTCTTCCCTTCATAAACAGTTCATACAACTTTGCTTATGTCTTTCCTGATCTGGTTATCTTCTGCTACTGCTTCTGACCTCCCTTTTCCTCTGTGTTGGGAAGGGGGAAGTATATATTTACTTTTATTTACAAATGTCTATTGTCAATACACAATAGATAATGTGATTTAAACTTAAATGAAAGAGGTCTAAAAGTTCTTAGTGAAGTAGACTTCTGGCTTTGCTTCTGGTTCAAATAAACTAACCTGTCATCCATATAATTGAAGAAAAGGTTTTTCTGGGCATGAGAGGGTTTCTGGAATTTTTCCCTGATGAAATCATTTAATAGATATGTTGATTAGCTGCAAATTCTAGTAGTACTAGCTGACAGAAGATGTATCACAATATACCATGCTTAAATAATTTACTAACCTATTGCGTTATTCATTTTGAAGATCCAGGAATTTGTTAAGGGCTATACCCTTCTACGTGACATGGGATTTTCATCGACCAGCGTTGTCGAAGCCTTGGTTATGTATGACAATGATACGGACAAAGCATTATCACATTTTCTTAACGGTTCATCATGAGAATCCTGAAGCATGTTTTGTTTATCATTTATTGATAAATAATAGATTGGTGACCTTGTACAGTAATAAATAAATCAAATATAGGATGTGTAATTTTATTGTCTATAAAGCTGCCCCTCTTATTTTAGTTGTTGGAGATCTTGTTTGGATGTTTTGTTTTGAGAACAAGTTAAACCGTATAACATATATTTTGTTATTGTCCTGCTATTACTATAATTTTAGAAAAGAAATGTCTTTATTAAAAATTATTACTGTTATCTTAGACCATGGTAACTTCGTCCATTCTGATAGACGTGGAGCAACTGAAGTGCTTATGTTGTTGGTAACCAAATAAGGACGATGATGTAGAGAGAGAATTTAAAGGAAGAAATGCTTATTTGAGTGTAGAATCGTAGGAAAGAATTTTAGAGAAGGTAGATGGACTAAACTAAGATGAACGTTTGTTGTACATAACTATAAATGGAATCGGCATCTGGTATGATATGGAAAGCAAGCAGAATAAAATTACTGCATCGCTGATCTTCATTTATAATAATATTTCACTTTTTGATTCATTTTAAGATATCTTTCAATTTTCTTTTTTATTCCATCCTCTAATACACGTAAAAGAAACAAGGATATATTTCCCAACAGAAACTTTGAAAGAAAAGGAACTAATACGTTTGAAAATTACAAACATTTAGGAATTTGAAAACTTTTCTTTAAGTTCTTAAACTATCGTCCGATTGTCTTTAGACAAAATTTTTGCATCATATGCTTTATAATTGATGAAATTAAACTCAATATTATAATCACTTATAACTCCCAAGGATTTGACAAGTGAGTTTCATGTCTAATGTGTACAGTTTCTAAATGCAAATTACTGCTGCAATATTGATCTGAATTTGACCATAATTCACACTCATGCAGATTTGCTCACAGAACGCGAGCGTGGTTCATGGGGGAAAAAGTAGCAGCACTCGACGAAATGTAAGCTGTTATAACCTTTGTTAATAACTTGTGGGTAGAGACTGTTGAATTTAGGAACCAGCAGGCACTTTGGTCCCCCTAATGGTCTTCTCAGACACCGCAATAATAACCTCTAAACACCTGAACACAGCGCTCCTGAAAAACGAAGATGATTTTCCATCTTCTTGATATGTTTGTAACTGAATTTGATTCACAAAGAGAGAGAGAGAGAGAGAGAGAGAGACCTGCTGATCCAGATGAGCAACAAAACTTCTGTTCATCAACATGCTTCACATCAAGCCCAATAAACCAGGATCCAGCAGTAATGTCAGCATGGGCATATGTACGAAGAATTGATCTGACAATCCAAAGTATATATTGATTATATTCAAGATTCAATCTTGAGTTGCATCAACAATAACTACAGTAGCTTAATTACTACAGCAAAAAAAGTGTCTTACTTGTTTGTTGAAATGAATTTTGCTAATGCTTTTGATATGACATACATCTCTCCTGATGCATGACGAAAATATCTGTTCGACAAAAGAGATTTAATCATTGTTTTAAGAGGAGATAAAAATAAGTGTCATGAAATATATGTAAAAGGTACCCATCAATGCATCATGTGTAGTGACCAAAATTAGGCAAGTGGGAATTCAACTTGTTTGCTAGCTTCGTTTAAAAGCTCAGCTTAGCATTTAAGATTAAGGGAATTTTACACTCACACTCCTCGGGATTTAATAAAATTTCACTGATAGGTTTCCCTTTTTCTTAACGAAATTCCTTTAATTTATATAACGACGTAAGTCACATAACATTGTATTTCCTTCTCAATAACATAGGTCTCTTCTTGATTTCTTATACAGTTTTATGAATTAAGGGAGGTCAAAGTAATGTTAAGAAAGGGAAAAATTTCTGGTGAAATTTTATGAAACCTCAGAAAAGAATGAATGTGATTTGCCCAAGATTAAAGACTGTTTGACAAGCAAAAGTAAAATATGTTAACATCATGCAACATATCTAATTTTCATAATATCATCATAGATCAACGTCAAACTATTCCATACTCTTCCAATACTCTGTGGATGATGACTTAGTAAATTAAGTTTGATGTGCAGTGAATTTCATGCAACTGTTCACTCTGAAGTAGAAACTACTGGTTGCTTACGTTTTTTTGTCACCAAATTTCCACCATTCAGGCTCATGCCATTTATGGTTCCTGTTAAAATTCAGATTTCAGAGTCAATGGAACGAAAACTATAGAATGCCCTTTTTCTATAATCACTTGACATTTTAAAAAGCTGTAATCCATGAAGAGGCTCACGGTTCAGAGAAAACTTTTCCTGATTTCATGCAACCTATGTAAACACGAGGTTTGTCCAAATGAGTTGTAAGTGTAGCTCCCAAGGCATCTGCTCAGGAAGAAACAAGTAAGCTGCAAGAGTATAGACACCAAAAATGGATTTGGAAAGCCTAAATTTAGTTAGAAGAAAACAACTTGTTAATTGCAACACATAATTCAACTTTCAGAAACAGTAACTAATAATCTAATGCAAGATGTAGTATTATAAATACAAGTATATCCTACAAGGTGATTCTGAATGATTTAAATGGGGGGTTTTGCACTGTTTATACATTAGAGTCAATTAATCTGATCCATAGAATTATTTTTAGCCATATAGTTCTATAATTAAGAGGTAAAAGGAGCTTGTTACAAGTATCTATGGTGACAGTAGTCTGAAGATTTGCAGATCTGAGCCTAAAATATTAAGTAAATGGCAGTTGAACAATTATCACTTCATCCATTCAAAGAAAAACTAACCAATGTTTACATAAACATCATCATTGACTTTAGCATAAAAGTCAGCATCCCATTTATTTACCGCACGAGCAAAGAACAATTTAGACTTCTTGGGAAGCTCCTCATTTGCTTCCACATGATCATCCTGTAAACAGAAAGTGTTGAAGAGGGTTAACCAATTAGCTTACGCTGTTTGAGCCTTGTTCTCCACTCACGGTGAGTCACTATAAACAGAAAAAACATTATGAGAACCTAGCAGGTTAAGTAACTGTACTGCCCAACTATAAAAAAAGTTCATATTTGCTTGCCATTTGAGGACAAGCTTTAATATAAGAAATATTGTTCATGTTCAGAAGGAATCTCGAGCTTATCATATCTCAAATTGGAGCAACTCAAAATTAGAATGGTTAACCACTTAACCGTATAGTACCTTCCATGTATTATACAACGGTTTTTCTAACATGTACCAAAGGGAATATAATAAGACCATATGTATAGTAAGCTTTTATTAATACTAAATAATTTTCGATAAAAATTTACTATTTATTAATTTCTTATTGTGTGTTAGACACACAACAGAAAAACCATTAATACAATATGAAATCTAATTACATTGAAAACTTAAGTATAGGTATTGACGGTTAGTGCAGTATCTATTTACACGAACAGAAATTGCAACATAGCTCTTGGTGGTAAAATTCCTGTTCTAGTCCAACTTTAATCAACTTGGGTTGATTCAACTTTTACATGGTCACAGGCATTATTAAATTCTTTTCTGATGTATCCAGGAGGATAATTTTTTTTAAAACCAGAAGATAGAAAACTCGTACTTGTACGGAAAAACTGGAGCCGTATTTCCAAAAACTGTGTATCTTATAAAACATGTCATATCTTAATAAAGAAAAATTCAAAAGCATATCAAGAAAGCAAATTTTTTGAATTAATTATACATACAAGAATTAGAAAGTCATTATTCTGCCAATTCTCACGATCGATGTCCCTATCCAGATTGTCCCCACGATTTGCACTACAAAATTACATATATTCACAAGAAAGGATTACCCTCCCCTCCAAACCAGAAGAGAATAATTCTAAAAATAAGAATTCAAACCTTCTTCCAATAACAAATCGTGTGATAATACCCTTTCTATCTTCCATTTTCTTCAAAGCTGCACCTGCAAAGTTAATGCTATCAAGCATTCTTACGCAAATCTTCCTTCTTTTATCTATAAGAAAACAGAACAATAAATAGTAGGATTCATAGGATGATACAAATTCTTCTCAATATGAGTTGATAGAAGTAAAGTGAATTAGCTTTCCAAATTAATCATTTTTGTTGGGGAAAGACGAAAATTCATGATTAAGATTATTGAAGTTGTTCAGATCATGAGGATAAACACCTAGACAACTGTATCAAGAAGATTAAGACTAGATATTTTGTCTTAGAGTTATTCATATTCATAATATTACTAGTTTATGATACCAAGCAAGAGTAAGCAATTAATATACTTACCAACTCCCATCCATGCTTTACGAATTGCTTCTCTATTGTTTTGGCCGCCAAACTTTGTAAATATTCCAATAACTACCAATGGCTTTTTCTTAGAGTACGTCCCATTATTAGCCTCTATAACGTGATTTGAAACAAAGCCCTCTTGTCTAGCTGTAGCAAGTTCCATCTCAAGGGCATCAAGCTTCTTATGTTGCTCCCTAACCATCATGTGATTCCACGTTAAGGGCACGGAAAAAAACTAAGAAAGTTAAGAACATCAATGGGACATTAATAGTTAAATCAGTTGGTAACTGACTATTCTTTTCTGGTCTCATTTGAAAAGATTACTTTTTAATTTAATTTACCTGCAGGCTATGATTTTCAATGTATCGTCCACTGATAATGAAGATTGTCCCTATACGAAAAAAACATGTGATTATTGGTTAACTTAGCAAGCCACAAACGGAAGCAGAGATGTAAAACAATGTCTTAATCTTAATTTGAAAAATGACGTGTTAAATTTCAACATGATGATGTCCCTAACACATTCGCTGTCTTTCTAGTTCATTCCAAAAGCAGTAATCTAAACTTGAGTAACTACAATTGAGTCCTTAATCAAAATGATACTAAATTCAAAATCACGATAACAATGCAAGCACATATTCAACAGATTTATGACGCTAGCAAAGTAAACAAATAGGTATAATCAGAAACAGGTACATAGGAATCTATTTATGAATAGACCTATTTGTTTAAAAAACCAAACGAAATAAATAATTATGAATTAACAGATAAAGGAAATTCATTAATTTTAACCAATCAAAAGTTCAACATATAATAATAATAATAATAATAATAATAATGTGTGTATAAATTATTTTAATAATAAACAAATTCAATAGTTACCTGCCCAGTAAACTTATCAAGCTCCTTTATGAGATAAATCCTGTCCTCGGTGTTCTGCCATAATCTGATGAAGAAGAGAGTTAAATTGCGTTAATGTTGTCGTGGTAAAACAGAAGAAACACTGAAACAGAGAATGAACACAATTAAAACGTGCAAAACAGAGCAATGACAGAAGAAGAGTGAACCTTCCAGCGACGTAGAAAGAGGCAAAAGTAGCCAACATGTAAATGAGGAGAGAAGGCATCGAAGAGCGATGAGGCATAATGGAAAACGAATTGCTGGATCCCTTAACTTTTTGGATCAAATTTCTCGTGTGAAATTAAAATGCAGGGAGTGCAGTGAGATAGAAGCAAGAAGAGATATGAGGACGCGACAGAGTGTGGTTGGTGTTGGGCTTTCAGTAATGGGTGCTGCTCACCAAAGTCACCTACACTTGCCTCTACGTACCTCACATATCATATAATTGTTGAAATAATAACTTCTTTCTTTATAGGAAAATTATGGTAGCATGCATTACTATTATTTTTTCATAAAATGTTTTTTGTTTTTGGGAAAAAATCATTCTATTTTTAATCGTTATTTTGACTATACTTGTCGAAGAGTGATATATATATATAATTTTATAATTTATTGATTTAATTGAATATGTTAATAATATTTTGCGCACCAAAAGTTTAGTGTTCACACTCAAGAGTGAACTCTTTTTTTTCAAATTTTTTCCTATGTATATTTTTGGTACATTAAGTGTTTTTCTATGTAAATTTAATAAATCTCAAATCATTTAGTTATTAATATAAAAAATATTTAAAAATAATATTAATTTAATTATTGATTAACATACTTTATTTTTATAATTTACTAAATTTATCTTTTTAAGAACTTTTTGTATAACATAAAATATTAATCCTTGACAATATAGATGTGATAGCCTGTTACTCTTGATCCATTGAACCATAGAAATAAAGTGGTCACTCATACAATGATGACAAAATTATCTGAATCTACGGATGTTTGCAAATAAAAATTCGTCAGGGATAAAAAGTACTTTTACCATAGATATCCACTTTTAATTTAATTTTTTTTATCTGCTCTTCTTGTAAGTGTAGTGGGTATTAAGGGACACATATTCAAGAATTACTCCTACCCGAAAAATTATTAAAATATTGATAATATTTGCTACTCATATATTACCATTTATACAGATAAGAAGGGAATGTGTTGTTACCACAAATGTTATAATAAATATTACTACTTTCAGCAGAAACTAAAGATTAAATTAGTACTATTTTTAATTTTTTTATAAAAAATAAAAGATTAAATCACCAGAAACAAGAAAAACAATTAAGTTAGTTATGCTTTTTATAAATATAAATTTTATTATAAGAATACCCATGATATTAAATGATATAGTTAGTAATTTATATATTTAATGATACTAATAAAAAAAAGATATAAAAGAAATTTAACAATTAATGTATCATAAATCTATCATTTGTTTATTATAATAAAGACCAATAAAATGCTCTATTTTTTTCTTATAAAAAAGACCGGAAGTAGTAGTATATAAATAATTTAATAACTAATACAATCTAAAAATAGGTATTTACTTTTAATAGTTTGAAAAAAATAGCAGTAATTTATTTTAAAGATAAAAGGAGATAATATTGAATCAATGGGATTTCTTAACCATAAATTTTATTTATGATTTAGTTTAAGCATTTAAAAATATAAAAAAATTATTAACTTTCTTTTTTTATCTAATCTTGGACATAATTTTGAGAATAAATTAACTTTTTTTCAACAATATTTTATTGGATTGTCGAAACAAAAACATTATTTTTAGTTCACTTAATGATGAGTGACTAAGAATTTGAGATTTCTAATTGCTAACCATGTACATGTTTTGATAAGAGACATTATTAAATTATACATAATTTTCATTTCTATAGAGGTCAAAGACTGTCCCAATGTTAATAACTTTCCTATCGTATATGACTATCCAATGTATTTGTGGAAGATATCCTCAGTTTTTGACTAAGCCATTACGCTAGAAAGGAGCTTATAGACTGTGAATTTGTAAAGCAGTTAATAGAAACTGCTCTTTAATAAGACACTTAGAGAGTAGTTAACATTTAACTGTTTTATAATGTCTACTTCTTTTAGTATTTTAATGGAAACCACTCTCTAAAGATCACTTGGAGAGTGGTTACTTAATAGTTGCTCTCTAATGCCTTTATTTTATAGAGCAGTTGACATATGAAATCACTCTCAAAATTTTAGAGAGCTATTAACATGTGGAACTGCTTTAAAAAATGCAGATTGGAGAGCGGTTATTGCCTAACTGCTCTCTAAAGTATAATTTCAAATTAAACCCTAACCCTCTTTCCCTTTTCCTCGTGTTCACTTCTATATTCTTCCGCTTTTCTATGTGAAGCTTGTCTCGTTCCATTGTGTTTGCCATTGACGTTGTGCTAATGCTTCCTACTCCATCCCTCCATTATTCACCTGTAAGAGGTCAAAAACATTTGCATAGGTTTTTATCTTGAGTTTTTGGTATTTCCTTATAATTAGGAATTTATGATTCCTACTGGATTTTTTATAATGTGATATCGTTGAAAGTTACTTGACTATGATAAATGATTGTTTTGCAACTGACAGAAATTTAGCTAGTAATTTTGTGTATGTGTGTTTCATTTCTGGCAAAATATGTGGTTGTCCCTCATATATCTGCTGCATCCATGAACCTAATTAGGATTGCCTTAGATAGAAAATCAATGATAACTCCTTAGTTTGCAATATTTTAATATAACAGGTCATGTACTTATTCATATTGCAAAAAAATTAAAAGTTGATAAATGGGAAGTGATTACCTTAGGACAAACTATGGAATAGATAAGAATGTAACATAAATAAAGCACAAACTTCAGAATAAATAAATACACTTACAAAGTCTCACAATTAAAGGAAGACTTGCAAGTTTAACATAATTGATTCTCTAAATGAAAAGTTCATAATCGAATAAGAGAAGCAAGTTAAGATTGGTGAATGTTTTGATAACTAAAGCAGAGCACTTACTGACAAACATGTGGGATGACTAAGCTAGCAAGAGTGAGGCCAATAATAAGGTTAGATTTAAAGTTTGAAGCTATATTTAGGACCTAGGTACAAATTTAATTGTAACGAAACCAAGTGAAATTAGAAAATAATTCCTAAAGAAACTAGGCCATAAAAATAAATTTGTGGTATGTTTTGTTGTTTGATGAAACACATGACATTGCAATTTGTTATACTTTATGAAATGTTGTGAATGCATGTGAAATGTAATGTAAGTGTACATTAGAATTTATGATTTGAATTCAAAATTTTAGTGAAACCTTAGTTTCTTGTTTGAGATTGAAAACAATGATTGAGGAAATCGTTATTTTGAATGTCCAATAGTTTAAGTTGGACAATTTTGAACAAAGTTTTTCATTAAATAATTAGCAAATACTTCTTAAAATCTTATGTTATACTTGATAAAATTTTGGTTTGGTACAAGTGTTATTGTCTCTTGATGCATGCTTCTTTAAGGTAAATGATACCACATTCAAGTTGTGTACTAAGAGATTAATACAAAATGCTACCAAAATTTTAAATACAAAAGTTTAAGCAGGAAATGCTAATTAACGCATGAAAAACTTTATTCTTAAATGGAATAGGACCCTACCATGTGAGAGAAAAAAAAGACATTGTCGTATATGTAGTTGGTGCAAATATGGATCAAAATTGGATGATAGTTGATCATTTGAATAAGAATATGAAGATGGAGTGAAGGAGTTTATTAAATTGCGATTGAGCATGCTATTGCAATTATCTTCACCAGCAGCTTAAGAATCAACCATATATGCAAAACTTTTTTAACAATTAAGCATATAATTCAATACACTACTATATATGAATGTGTTTTGAATTGTAACATGTTTCTTTCATTTATTTCTTAGTGTCCTTATCACATATCGAGTAGAAAGGCGAGTTTAGGTCTTTAGGATGAAGATGCATCAAACACGATAGGTCACACTATACATGTATATTTTTCCCAAATGCTTTTAACTTGTTAGTTATTACAATATCTATAATTTTGAGTTAATGAATACTTTTATGTTGTTTTCTTCCACAAAGTGTCATAAGCAAACAAATAACGATGACTATGGATATTATCTATGTCTCTTCATTAGAGATATTTTGCCCCATAGACAAACTATAATCTCAGTTAATGTAAGGAGTCCATATCCAAAATTACATAATATTTTGAATTTGTTTTACTTAAATTCTACCTCAATTTCTATTTAATTTGACTTTGTGTATTTAGTTATGTCTTTAGTATTTTTCAGAGTTTCGATTCCCAACATTTCCTCATAGTAGGATTCACCAAGTACAAAAAGAGTGATATGCATATTTGTACCATAAATATTTGAATGACACATTAAGTATAATAGATTTTTAGTAACTTTTTAATGAGTAAAATACATATACTTAAGACAATTTGCAATTGTATATGTTTTTTCCATTATTCATTGTGGTTCAATGTAATTGTATTAATTTCAATCTTTTCTATAATGTTTTGTTATTTTTTTATTTTGGGATATTTAATTGTTCCTAATTTAATTAGTTGAAAAAATGTTAATTGTAATATACACTGTACTGATTTGGTCTGAAATTCTAGAATATCAACTATATTTAGAATACTAAAATGTTCTCAACTATTTCTAAATTATTTATTTATGGTCCATCAAGTGTAAGAAAATTTCTAATAATGTGAAGCTATTAAAAAAATATGCCAAAATTTTCCTAAACTTTAAAGAGCATTTCAACTTAGAACTTGACTTTGGAGGTTTCCGTGGAATTGCTCTTAAAAGTGAAGACTTGAGAGTAGTTTCACATGGAATTGCTGTCAAAAGTATAGATTAGAAAGTAGTTCTAGGTGGAACTACTCTTCAAAATATTGACTTCAGAAAGCGGTTAAAAGTTGAACCGTTCTTTAAAATACCCTTATGACTCTTCAATTTGAAATTTTGAGAGTAGTTCTTAATTGTAACACCCTCTTTTTTATTTATTTGATTAACTGATAAATTGTTTCACATTACATGGTGTTAAGATGTGTTTGGGAATAATTTTTAGGTGTTTTGGTAGAAGTATGTGTAAGGGGTCGTGCTTAAGCAAGACTGAGCGTCCAGAACCATAAGATTTCAGGTTATTCTCGCTCAAGCGAGAATGGGATAAACTCAGTCCAACTGTCACCTTGCCCAGGCGAGAGTGATCTTGCTCAGGTAAGCAAAGATCTAGCCTAAGCGAGATGAGTCATTAAGGCGAGGACTCACAGGAAAAACATCCAACTCTCTGAACATCATTTTGCTCA